TCCACTAGAGACGGTGGCAGAGCAGGATGGTCCCTGGTCCTTGCCCATGGGAGCTGCCTGTCAGCCCCATCAGACTTGTTCCTGCCCCTCCTTGTCTTGTGCTTGGCTGCAGGGGCCAGTCCCCCTGCCCCAGGGAGGGGGAACAACTGAAACCCACCCACTGGGCTCAATTCTTAAGTAGTTTAAAAAAAAAAAAACACAAAACCAAACCCACAAAAACGCAGCAAAACAAAGCCAGCGGCTGCTTCTCCAGCTCTGTTGTGCCATGGGGGGCAGACAGGAGGGGGCCAGCTCTGGCCTGTCCCCACTCCTGGAGCTGGTGGCCAGGGGAGCCAGGGCAATGGCACCTGGCCCCTTCCCTGCTCCCCCAGCCACCTCTGCATCCTCCCTGCTTTCTTACAACTTTTGAACGTTTTTTGTGATACAGTTTTGCACTTTTTAGTACCAGATTGAGCTGACCACCAGGGAGGGGTTTTTGGGGCCACTTTTGATGCTTTTTTGGGAACTATTTAAAAAACAAACAAAACCACAAACCCAGCCATGTTCTGTAGGCACTGCACTCTGAGGGGGGAGGAGGTTTTTACACAGACTTGGGGGGAGACCCAGCTCCCCTCCCTGCAGCAAGTTGAGCATGGGCTCATGTGTGTGCTGCTGCCAGCTCCCCAGCCCCGCTGCGGCACCAGCAACCTTCCAGAGAGAGACAGCCCTGCAGCCCCATTGCTGCACAGGGGACTGATGCACCAGTGCTTCATGCCTCCCCTGGCAGTCTGGACAGGGCCCGTTTGCACTGCCTCGGTGTGAGCGTCGTACCCGGGGCATGTTGGGCAGCAGCATGAAGTCCTCCCAGTGGGGAGGGGACCCCTGAAGCCAGGGTTGAACGAGGGCTCCCCACTGCCCTGTGGAGCTGGCACGGGCCAGAGCCAGCTTTCCTTCCCGTGCCACTTCTCCAGTGTGTGGCCAGGGCCTCAGGGTCTGCCAGGAAAGCCTGGTGCGCAGCGCTGTGAGGTCCTCATGCTGCAGGAGCAGTGGTGCAGCCCTTTCCTCAGCCATGGGCTCCCTCCTTGCCAAGGTGATGGGCAGGCTGGGGCAGGCTGGGGCAGCCCCCACCCCCCCAGGGTGGGCTGGAGGATGCTTGTTCGGAGTGAAGTGCTGGTGCTGGAGTGTGGCCGCAGGAGTGCCCAGTGTGTGCAGGGAGGAGTCCAGGGTCACTGTTCTTTGCCGCCTGGGACCCTGCTGGTTTCAGCACTGACTTTGCGAATGTGTCAAACTTTTTATTCTGCTCTTTTGAGTAAAAAAAAAAAAAAAAAAAAAATCCACCCTCGCCCCAGGCGGCTAGGAGGGAGAAAAAAAACTTTGTACAGCTTCTTCTCTCGGTTACTGAAGTAAAACTTGCTCTTCACTTCTTGTGTGTGCTGTGGTTTCTCCCCCACCGTTGGGGACAGCCCTGGCATGGAGGGATGCTGAGGAGGGGCCAGCAGCTGCCTCCTTGCTGCAGGACTCCCAGCCCCAGGCAGGGCTTGGCGGGGGGTCAGTGCCCACCGGCTCAGGGCCAGGGCTGGAGAGAGGGAGGGCAAAGGCTAATGGAAACTGTGTCCCTTTATTTTAAATAAGAGCAGAGAGGGGCAGGAGCCAGCTGCATCCTGTTCCCCCTGAGTCCAGGCAGCCGGACCCCAAGTCCGGAAGGCACTTGTGTGGGCAGGGCAGGGTGGGGGGTGATGTAGCCCCCCCCCAGGCGGGTGTGGGGGCTGCCGGCCCCTCAGTGCACCTGCGGCTGCTGGCTGTGGGGCAGCTCGCCCCCCGGCTTCAGGGCCAGCGCAGGCACCTGCTCCTCCTCCACTGACTCACTGCCATAGGCGCTGTCTTCCTTCAGCTCTGCAAAGCAAGCCCAGGGTGCTGTCA